AGGCCGCACTATTTATACTAGAAAAATTTTCCGATCAACGGTGGAAATATCGCACGAATCACCGTTTCTCTATTTCAACGCCTCTTTAGACGAAACTCTAATGTTTCAATGGAGAAAAAAACCGATCACAGTCACATTTTACCGATCAAACTTTCAACTTACACCCTCTACACACCTATAGATCCATCGAATTTAAGATTGCGAGAGTTCACCGAAGTGAAAATAGGGTAATTCCGGGAGAGACGGACCTGGGCATGTATTTCCTACATTATCCGGCATATGTGGAACGCGTCGGTACTCTTTTGTTTCACGGAAAGCGATCGAGCGTGGCTCTCGGTGTTTTTTCTTCCATATCTGGCGGATAATGTGGGAAATACATGCCTGGTCTACTATTCCATCCATACCTTGGACAAACTGAACCCAACGACGAAGATACGAACTGTAAATACAAGAAGACCTCTAATCAGCATCTAAACATCTCACGTTGAAAAGAGACTATTAACGATCAGCCAGCATTTGCGTGCTCTGTAAGCGAGATACACCCCGACTAAGGTTGCCGTACTCGCAGACATTAACCCGACCATAATCACGAATTACCGCAGCGTCTCAGCGATATCCGAAATTACAGGGACGATCAATACGGTAAAGACGTATTACTACGCGATCTACTCTCGGTTAATACTCATGAGCCGATCATCGTATAGATCTACGCGTTATGTACATATACATACCAGGGACAAAAGACTATCGAGAGACGACGACGAAGACGACGGTATTGCCGAGCCAATGTTCTGCTACGTGGTTCTTAGTCAATATCACGGACGGTCTTTGGGGCTAGAAACGGTGAGATATTACAAGGTAGCATTAGCGGCGTGTCGTCCGTTCTTATTGCGCCCTGGGCGGACTGTTACACCGGGTGTTCTTCGTGGATGTACGTCTTTTTCACGTTCTACCGGTTGGTGGAGGAAGGCGAAGGAGTATTTTTGTAAGATGAATTTTGTTAAGGATATATTAGTATTAATGGTCGATTAGCCGAGGCAGATTTTACCGAGTATTTTTAACGAACGAAGAGTTTCGAGTTAGCGTAGGTAGTAGTAAGGTAATGATAAATCGTTGAAATAAATGGACGAATAGGTAGTTGTGTGAAGTATAATAGAATGTATAGTTGGAGGAAATATAGCGCGATGGGAAATTAGAGAGAAGCGGCTTGTGGTTATTGAATTCGTCTGTGATTATGTACAGAGTGCCTTCGGAGTATTTTCGCTGCTGCTTGAATTAAGGGAATATTATCAATTCAAGATCACCTTTTCTAGTAATTTTCTTACTTTCAACAGCAGTGGGAGTAGTTTAAATTTTCGTTATAAGGGAGACACTCTGTACATTGAAAAATATCCCGTTAGATGTACAAATTACCTTAATCCTTTCGTTACTATTGACGCCTGCAGGCGTTTTGAAAATTTGCTTGCAGCCTTTTGGTACACTTCTATCTCAATTTAATACTCAATTCAATAAACCGAATTTTGAAAATTACCGTCAGTCACACACGTTACAAATCCACCGTAGCGAAAGGGTTAAAGTATCCTTGACATTTTGAGAAAAAATTAAATTACACTAAATTACAGGTGTCCACCCTGAAATGCTACAATTTTTCTCAGCAAAATTTCTTCAAACCACCGATATTTTCAGTAATATTCAATCAAAGTCTGTCTAACATTCCCCACTCTAAATCTTTCTGTTATCCACCCTAGGAGTACCGTAAAAAAAAATTACCTTAAAGTATCCTCGACATTCTGGCAAAAACTTAAATTACACACGTGTCCCCTAAAATACTTCAGTTTTTCTCAGCAAAATTTCTTCAAACCACCGATATTTTCAATAATATTCAATCAAAGTCCCCACTCTAAACCCCAAGAGTACCGTCTCTCCTCGAGCCACCCTATATACGCATCGGCGGACATTACGCCAGTACCATCCATATTTGTATCGTTCCTACTACGTTCCGCTATATTTATCGCGGCTACGATGGTCCCCGGTGGATTTCTCTCCTCGACGAGGGAAAGACAAAAGACGCCGACCAATTTTTATCATCTCCTCCACCCTCCGTTTAGAAGCGAATCTTCCCATTTCCACGGTCAGTTGCATTCGCATAAATACAGATTCGATCCTTTTGTCCCCTTCTACCCAGCTTAATGCGTCGCGTTGCGAGCCATTCATACAGCGGTGGCCATCTTCTCTACGGTCAATATGGCTCCATTTCCGACGTTGTCGCGGAGGATCGGCACGATAATTTTCGTGGCCCGTTGCCCCGACGTTTTCCAACCGTTTGGCCACCGCCACGCGACGGATCGCCGCCCGCCCGCCCGGAAGTCGATTATAACGTAACAATTTAGCCGGGCGTTCTGGAAATCGCAGGCGCGCGCGCAATCGGCCAACAAATTCTCCCGCAGGAT